TTTTGAATATATGCAATGGCTTTTTATTTTTTTTTATTTTTTTTTTTTTTTTTTTTTTTGAGAGGTTTTCGCTATAGGGCAGGTGCGCTTGCCAGACAGACAGAGAGATATAGAGACAGAAAGCAAGAAATCACCCTCCAGGGGGGATGGTCACGCCGCAATCCCTTCTCCTCCATTCTCCTCTCGGGATCTTGGGCACGCACGCACGCACACGCGCCTGGTGTGAGTTTTAAGCCCATGGATCTGGGACATGAACCGCGGTCGACTACATGGGAGTCCAGCAACATAGCCATTACGCTAACTGCTGGTTCCCAGAGATCAGGTTTCTAATGATAATGCTGTTAGTAACCAATGGGGCACAGTGGACTGAGACCAGAATAAAGCAGATCTGATTCAAATCCTCATCCTGCACTTCCATATTGAATGCTCTATGGACAGGTATGTGATAGGAGTCCTGATGCTGCAGCTCCCAACAGAGTTGTTAAACGTGCAAGAGATAACACACATAAAGGGTGTGCTTGCCTGGCACACGGTTCTCCCGAATACTGGCTGCTGTCATTCTTACCGTCATCACTGTATGACAGTTTTTAAGTATTTAGACAGTTTAATGTTACACTAAACTTCTGAAACAATTTAATTTTCACGCTAGACTGGGATCTGCAGAATGATGGCCCCCAAAGATGTTCACATCCTGTTCCCTGAATTTACAAATATGTGAGGCAAAGGAGGATTCAATTGGCACATAAAATTGAGGTTGCTAATCAAGTGATCTTGAGATGGAGAGACTCGTCTCAATTTTCTAGGTGGGTCCAATGTAGTCTCAAGGCTCCTTACACGGGAAAGGGGGAAGACTCAGAGGAAGGTCAATGCCTTTGAAGATGGAAGAAGGGCATGAGCCAAGGAGGGCAGATGGCTCTGAGCAACTGGTGGAGGTAAGAACGGGCCTCTCCTGTGTCATTCTAAAGGGATCACAGCCCTGCTGGCACCTTGACCTTAGCCTTCATGTCGGCCCCTTCCAAAATGAAAAGATGACACAGTTGTGCAGTTTGAGGACACATTAAACCTGCGGTAAATTTATTACAACACTCATGGGCAATGAATACTGTTACCACCATTTCAGTAATGAAAGTCAAATTCATTTCTCATCTAAATTCCTTTAGCTGAGGAACCACGCAAGCTACTGCCCCTCTCAAAGTCACATACCTGGCAGGGAAAAAGGCAGGACTCGGAATGGCCTGATTAAAGAATCCAGATTCCTAATTCTTACAACTGGACTTGAGTTTGCCATGAATGGATATTGGAAATCTCATAACTGCTTCAGACCTGGCTTTCCTGTCTATGAAGTAAGGAGATGGAACCAGATTCCTTTTAGCTTACACAGCGGATGTGGTTACTCAGAATTAAGTCATCGATGGAAAGTCACGAAACATCAAAGAGATTCCATCTTGTTTGCCACATTCTACTTACAAAGGGAGAAGTACACACACATGCATTTGGGAGGTGATGTTAACCAGGGAGAAAAGGAGAGAATTTTTGTGGTCACTTGCTATATTCCTAAAAACTCAATTACCCAGGCACTACACTCAATATAGATTCTATAATTAGAAAACATAGCTTAGAAAATTCTCTCTCTCTCTCTTTCTCTCTCTCTCTCTCTTACACACACGCGTACATACACACACTCAAAGCTTTCCACAGGACTGAGAAAACAAAATATAGGGCTATCAGAGACACATGCAGCAATTCTGTTCTTGGAAACCATAAAATCCTTGCCCCTAAACAGAGAACACTATAATAACAATCGGAATACTTCATCAGAACACTGTTTAGAAACACCACCATTAGCAGCCCCAGACAAGAGTCCCCATACCATTTCCCAGTCTCAAAATAGTTCATGGAACAGAACATAAACACCTTTCTGTGAATCTGCCCGACATTGTAGAAAGCACGAGGGAGCCTTCCAACCAATAGAGTGGAGGCATCCTCTCCACATGTTCCAGATCTGGTCCCCCACTGGGCGAGGGCGAGGAAGAGGAAATGTGGAAAAGGGAACCATCTCTGTCTGTGTCAAACTAGAAAAAATGAGAGGTAGCTCTGAGGTGGCTCAAGCCTCACGCAGAAAGGCCTTCAGAAGTGCCTCGTTTTCCTTCTCACAGCCAGGGAAAGCCACCGCTCACACCCACAGCCAATGTGGAAGCCAACAGAACGACCCTAGGGCAGACCAGGGTTAGGAGGGTAGATGGCACCGCCAAAGCCAAGCCGCAGCACTAGGGCAGGAGGCAGCTGGAGAGAACCCGGACAGTAAAGCGAAACGAAAACACAAGGGATTCCAGAGTGGAACAAGACAGGCTGCAGCCACGTGTTATTTCTTCTGCGGTGAAGTGCAGAAGTCAGATGTAATTACAGCGGACGACATGCTGTGGGACTGAGAGAGCCCTCTGAGAAAGCTGCCTTTCAGCGTCAACAGAAATGGTAGTCTGCACTTTTCTTTTGTACTTCCCTCTCTTTTCTAGCATACTCGACAAACTGTTCCTTACCTAAAATTCCCTGGACTTAAATCATAATTTAAGAGAAAAAAAAAATAACTGCATAGATCCCAAAGCCTCTTGCTGTTTGGATGTGATTTTTCTGAACTAGACAACATTTGTAAGGAAAGGGTCTCAATGCTACTCAATATTTTGGCCTATCCATTGCTGACCATGTTCTCCAGTTATATTCCATGGGATGTGTGGCCCTTCAAGGGAAACACGTCATGCTTAAAAAAAGTTAAAGGCTTTTTAAAAATTGACAAAGCATGCACATATGACAGTGTATGTGTGTGAGAGAGGGAGACAGAAAGAGAGATGAGCACCTTCCACAGGTCTGGTCATGGCAGGATCCCCTTCCTCGAGTCTGTAGCTTGGAAGATCTTGGGCTCTCATGCATGTGCCTGGGGCTGGGCCAGGGATTCAAACTGTGGTCATGATGTAGGATCCAGCTCTTCTCGGGCAGTGCACCATCACTGCACCATGCAGCCTGTCTGATAATGCTTTTTGAAAATCAAATGTGATAAAGTACCTTTTGTTTCTTTCAAATTTTGCCACGGGACACATGTGGAATGAGGTGGGTGATGGGAGAAGCCACGCTCCATGCAAAATGGCCACCCTGCAATCCTTTCTCCTCCATTTCTCCTTCCAGGATGTTGGGTCCTCATGCACAGTGCCCAGTGTGTTTTTCAATCTGCCAGGTTCAAGACTCAAACTTTAAGACTCAGCCATGTGGGGTCCAGCTGCCTTAACTACCACACTGGCTGGCCCTGATAAAGCATCTTAAACACAACATGCTAATAAAAAAAAAAAAAAAAAAAAGGCAAAATAAAAACAAAAACAAAACTCTAGGTCAGAGGTAGAGGTAGCATAGTGGTTGAGACACTGGACTCCCATGTAGTTGACCACAGTTCAAGTCCTGGACCCAGTGACTTGAAACTCACACTAGATGCATATGTGTTTATGCCCAAAATCCTGAGAGGAGAATGGAGGGGAAGCGATTGTGGTGTGGCCACCCGCCCAGGGCAGGGAGGTGATTTCTCACTGTCTCTCTGTCTCTCCAGTGAATGCCGCCCAGGGCAGGCAGGTGATTTCTCACTGTCTCTCTGTCTCTCCAGTGAATGTATGCAAAAACATCTCTAGAAAACAAAAACAAAACTCCTTCTCTGTCCCCCAGGCCTGTTTCTTGTTCAGCTTTTGCCACCTTGTTTTATACGTCCATATTTCTAGTTGCTCAGCCTCCAAATCATTGAATCATCTTTGAGTCTTCTCTTCCTCCCACATTTTATCAGGAAATCTTCTACTAGATCATGAAATCATACTGGCTTTGCCTTCCACATATTTCTGAAAGCTGAAGAGTTACCACACTGTCCATTGTACCATCCTGAGCCAAGCTACCATGCACACGGCCCACTGTTGCACACGGCCTACTGCCTCGCACTGCCCACTGCCACACATGACCCAGTGCCATGGGCACAGCCCACTACCACACACACAGCTCACTGCTGCACACAACCCACTGCCACACACACACCCCACTAGCCCACTGCTGTGCACACCTCACTGCCACGTGCAAAGCCCCCTGTCACACACAGCCCACCGCTACGCACACCCCACTGCCACACACACACACCACTGTAATGCACGGCCCAGTGCCATGCACGGCCCTACTGCTGCACACACACCCCACTGCCACATGCACAGCCCACTAGCCCACTGCCACACACACCCCACCGCCACACACACGCCACTAACCCACTGCTGTGCACACCCCACTGCCATACACACAGCCCACTGTCGCACACAGCCCACTGCCACACACACATACACACACACACATACACACCACTGCCATGCATGGCTCACTGCCACGTATGGCCCTACTGCCGCACACACACCCCACTGCCACATGCACACCCCACT